TTCTTCGCACAAGGCCTGCACCAATTACTCCTCGCATTAGTCCTCGACTTGCGTGCCTCCTAGCTTGCGTGGCCTTGCGCCTCCTTGACCTCGGGCCACAAACTCTCGTCTAATCTCTCCTACAAGAAGGTCGATAATCCTATCCATGTGACTCCTCAAGCATATTCTCTAGCCGAATATCAAGATCGTCCATCGCCTCGTCCTCGGACTCTCTAGGGTTAGTAACCACTTCCATATCATTCTCGCCCTCTTCGAGACTATCCTTGTTGTAGCGCCCCATTTGTTCTGGATTATTTTGAGATTATTATTTATTTTATTTCATCCGAGATTATTTAATTCGTGCTCGATTAATATTTTATTTGATTATGTGATAGTAAATGTCTAATTGCTTTAGTGTATTAATATTAAATCGAGCCATCGATTTAACCGGATCATCGAGCAACGTGTCTATTCGGAACTAAATCGAGCGTCGAGCATAACTGGAATATTTAACCGAACCGCCCGAACCACCTTCGGTTTCTCCCCATGCAAGCAAGCATGATGTTTAGAATTCAAAATTTGATTATTATCTCTTATCTTCTCATAATTAGAAATTAAATCAATATTAAGGATTTGACCAATTAATTATGTTTGAATTGGTCCCTTAATTACCCTCTCTCCATATTATTCTCTCCTTTCCCACGACCAGTAACAAAAAAATAAACCATCCATTATCTCTTCCCACTTCTTTCTCTCGTCACCAGCAGAATCTCCCACTTCCCCTCTCTCTCTCGTTAATTCACGGAATATCGGCCATCTTGCTGGATTTTCTGCTGCCAACCACCCCACGCCAACGTTGCTGTGCGCCTCATCGCCCCGCCATCTCATGTCAGCCGCGAGCACGCAGCAGCACCTCCATGAGCCACCGGAAGTGTACGCGTGATCACAACCACGGAGGCTCTCTGTAGTGGGTCACACTCGGGTCGCCTGAACCTGCTGCCACCATTCGCCCCCGCGACGCCAAGCCTGATGCTCCCACCGCGAACCACCACAGCTCCTCCGCGACTTAATTTTCCGTCGCCTCTCATCACAGTGTGAACCCCCAAAGCGGTTGTTCATGTTTTATCAATCGCTGCTCGTACGTTGCTTCACACGCAAGACCGCCGGTAAGCCTCTATCCCCTCCACGTGATTCCGGCGACCATCATCTTCTCCAGCAAGCCCACCTGCGAGCATCCCAGCCATCACCGACTCTCTGCAGACCAGTTCTCGAGCTGTTCGTTGAGTATCAGAATTCCGAGTCCTGAAGCCGTTCGTCAGACCCGCTGTCGGGCCAGTTTTCCGTTCAATTACTCGTAGTTTCCCGAAGTCGGGTAATTTATTCAAATCCCCTCATTATTACGGTCGTTCTCATATGTCGCACGATAGATATACATATCATACGTGCTACCGAAACCTTGTTTGTAGTCAGATTTCCTTTCGGTGTTTTGTTTTTGAATAATCTGTTAGAAAGCAGTACTTTGTCTGAGCCTCAGTTGTAGTGATTTTGTGCTAAAAATGTGAGTTTTTGAAGTGATAAGTTTCAGTTATTATATGTACTTACATGCCTTTTTCGATTGACTATGTTATATAGAAGAACTGAAACATGTTATGAACCCTTTTGTTGAGCCTTTGACTTATTGTTAGCATGCTGGAGTTGTTCAATTTCGGAGCTTAAGTTCAGCTATACGCATAGTGATTCTTTTGTGATTAATAAATCTTAATTGCATTCTTTATTCATGATGTAAGTGGAATCTGAACAAATGAGGTACTCAAGATCATATATTAAATGTTAGTTTAAGCTCAAAACTTCCGGTTTGATTATCTTCTGTAAGTTTTCAAAGGTTGTATTGGTTTTGCATAGAAAATTTTTGAAGGATTACTTGACCATAAATAATTTTATGTTGGAGTTGTAATGTTTATAAAGAATTTGAGCAAGTATAGATCTTTTCTTTAAATAGAAAGCAGTATCTGATTTATTTAGTTATGTGGATGCATTGGTGTGATTATCTAATAATAAAAAAAAAAAA